TAGAAGGCGGGCAGCTCCTTTATCTGAGAGGTCTTCTGCGAGAGGTCATATCAGAGCCCTTGGAAGCGGCGAAGGAAAGCGTGCGCCAGCGTGCTCCACGCCGGACTACCGGCATCCTATGGGAGCCTGGAGGCAGAGGACATGGACCCGCATGCGCAACCACATCAGGCCCTGCCCTCCCTCCTGCAGGGGTAGACGGAGAACCCTTGCAGAGACCCAATGCAGTCCTGGCCAGAAGAACCACAGCATGAGCTGCTGAATACGGGCCAGGAAACCCGGGGGCGGGACCAGGGTGTTGAGATGGTGCCAGAGCATGGAGAGGACCAGCTGGTTAAGCATCAGTGCCCTCCCTGGCAGGGAGAGGCACCGGAGCAGCCCTGTCCATGTCCGCAACCTCTTAGTCACCCTGGACGCTAAAGTTTGCTAGTTCTCCGGCAGGGAGGGATGTGTGGCAGAAAGGAAAACACCAAGATAGAGCAGCGGACCTGCGCTCCACCTGATGGCCTGAAGCGCAGGTGGGAGGGAGCTCTTGACCCAGTTGACCCGGGTGGAGGAGGCTGCCAAGTAAACAGCTTGGCAGGCCTCCACCCACGCCAGGTTGCCTGGGTCCTGGGCCTGCTGACAGCCCCAGCCGCATCTCCGGCTTATGGAACACCAACCCCATCAACCTCTTGCGAAGGAGACGGAGGAAGGGCTCGATGGCCAGAGTATACAGCTGGCCCGACAGCAGACAGCCTTGATGTACTCCCCACCCGAAGCTAACCGGTGAGGTCAGGGTCCAGTTGAGCTTAACCAAGCACTCTGCAGAAAGAAGAAGCGGGAACCTCGATCCATCTCCCGAAGGAGATGGATACGAGAACGAACAAAGGCACCCCGGGCTCGAAGGTCCTTGAGGGCCCGGAGTTCCTCCCGCTTCTCCCGGTACGCTCCGCAGAGGGGCGGATCCTCGGAGCCGGTGGCAAGCCGCCTCTCTAGCTCTAAAACCTCCCGTTCCAACTGCTCTATCGCTGCATCCCTCCGCCGGCTGGCCCCCCGGGTGTAGTCCTGGCAGAAGAGCCGTGTGCGCACCTTCCCCACATCCCACCACTGCCGTGCCAAGGGAAAGGTGCACCACTACCCACACCAGAACTCCCAGAAGGACACTACAAAGCCCACGTCCCTCAGCAAGCTTTTGTTGAAATGCCAGTAGGCCGGCCCCGGCCTCTCCGAAGAAAGACAGCCCATCATGGCCACCAAACAGTGGTCCGAGAATGGGGCTGGCTGAATGCTAGAGGTCCAGCAAAGATGATGCCAAGGAAGGTAAATGTGGTTCAACCAGGAGTGAAACGACCATTGACCCTCCACCCAGACAAAGGTGAATGCCATGTCCTTGTCCAGGTGGTGGGCGCGCCAGACGTCCACCAGGGAGTGTTGGTCTATTATCTCCCTGAGGACGTCTGCAGTGGCCAGGCACTGCTCAGTCCCCATGCGGTCCCATTCCTCGAGGGCGCAATTGAAATCCCCACCCAGGACCAGATATAGAGGATATAGAGAGCCAAGGAAGGCAAACACCGGCTGGAAGAAGTGGAGACTCTCTGGGCTATACGTCGGGGCGTAGACGTTTAGGTGTAACATCAGCACCTCCACCCGAACATGGGGGTGCAGCAGGCAACCCTGTACAACCTTGGTGGTCCCCAGCACATTGGGCTGTAGGTTCAGGGAGAACAGGGTCACCACCCTGGTTTGACTGGCAGACAGGTGGCTAAAGTAGACCCTGTCCCCCCCAACTCTATCTGCCAGTTAGCTTTGGTGGCCAGAGCGGTGTGGGTCTCCTGCAGGAAGATGACAGAGTACCCCCCCTCCCAAAGGAAGGAGAGTACCTGACACCTGTGGAGACCCAGCCTGCAGCCCTGGGTGTTCAGAGTGGCAAGGAGGAATGGCAGCATCGAGAGGGCAGGGGAAGATCCTCGCTGGCGGGAGTGCTGGCAGACCTCATCGGGCCCCGCAGCAAACCATGACAAGTCTCCCCAGTGCTGAAGGGCAAGAGCCCTCCAAGAAACTGCCATTTCAGCCTTCAGAGCATTGGGGCCTCAGGCCCCTGAACGTCCTCAGGCCAGACCCCCCTACAGGCCCCACAACTGACTGACATAGGGAAGCAAGGACCCTGGGACTATCAAGAAAGATAACCAAGAAAAAGGGGGGACATAGA